TGTCCAGTCTGACCCCCAGCTACCTGTTGAAATCCACTGCAGTTACCAGGGCTCTCATTTCTATTAAAACTCCATTTGCCAAGAAAGTGGAAAGGTAATTATGAGCCCTAGCCTTAAATCACTCCGCCGCTGCTGAATTATTAAAGGGAAGAATTAAAAATAATCAGGCTTTTTCATTACACTTCATAGCAGGGAAATTAAAGGTGTAAGAATGTATTTTTTGCCTCAAATTTAAGTATTCATTTTGGAGATTTATAGGGGAGTTGAAATGATTCCCTGCATGCCCGCTTCATCTCTCTATAAAAGGAGGAGAGAGAAAAACCCTTGTAAAATTAAAAGGGAGATCGAGCGAAGAAGGGATTTAACATAAAGAAGTACAATGGGGTGTTTTGCATTTTAATACATTTTTTTCTGCACAATTACACCACTGAGTGATATGGCAGAGAGAGATTAGGCCTCTAGTCTCAGGCGCCGAACGGTGAGATGGTGAGGGTATCTTACCAGTTACTGGGTGAGGACACAAAGACTGTTAAGGCTAGTCCTGGATCCCAAAGTCCTGGGAAGCAAGTACTCCTGGCTGCCTACACCTTCTCATATTCAGGAAGGCACAGAATGAGTCACCAAGACTTTTCACAGAGAGAAACAAAACAAAACAAACTAAGGCATCAGAGACCGGTTAAGACTGCTTGCTGCTCTTCCAGAGGACCAGAGTTCAGTTCCCAGAACCCATGTACAGTGGCTCAGAACTGCGTGTGTGTAACTCCAGCTCCATGAATATGACACACTCTTCTCCCCTCTGAGGATACTTGTGTGTATATGTCATCCATTCACACAGACACAGATACATCGCACAAATAAAAATAAATCTTTAAAAAAAAAAACTAAGTTACCAATGGTGTAAGGCCTGGGACCTATCAGGACATGCTGCCAATTTGTTATCAAATCTGGAAGAAAGTTCACAGAGAGAAGGCAAACTGACTTCCCATCAGCAACCTCTCCATCCAAGGATTCATACCACACACAGGGGTTAGGGAAGAGACGGGAAGATTCTGGAAGACTGCTCAAATCAGAACAGCATTATGGCTTGGAGGGTAAAGGTGCTTGCCTCTAAGCCTGACAGCCTGAGTTTGATCCCTGGGACCCACAGAGTGGAGGGAGAACCAACTCTAACCAGCTGTCCTCTGAGCTCCACATGTGCACTATGGCATGTGCACACGTACACACCACACACACACACACACACACACACACACACACACACACACACACACAAAGTAAATAAATGTAATGAACATTTTAAAGTTTTTGTTTGTTTAAGATTTCTTGGAACCAAATCCCAAGACTCTCAGATGAAAGGATGGATAAGAAAGAATTTGAGACAGCCACAGCCAAGGAAGAGGCTGAAATAGGTGCCTTGGTTCAAATCCCATCCCCTGGCATACACCTCATCTCCCTGGAACAAGAGGAAGTTCAGCTGAAGCATCCACAAGAGGCTTCTTCCAGTGAGGAGCAGCAGAAAGCATAGAATCTGCCACTGAAGAGAGGCCACAGAGCTCCCCCACCTCGGCTCCTCCTGAGCTACACAACTGGAGAACCCCGTTCCTCTTTCCACATTCCGGGAAAAGTACGGGAACCAAACAAGACTTAGGTGTGCCATCCACACACAAGCATCATCATTGGTGAGAGCCTGTGAGCTCGCAACTCCCATTCAGACCCACGGGAGAGTGCTTCGTATGGTTCTGGCTCGTCCAGATGTGGTCTCTCAGTTGGCCTGTCTCTACATGCGGATACCAAGCCCGAACACCTCTGTCCCATGTCCCTCTACCCACAGAGCAACAGCCACATTGGATCAGGTTGAAAAGGTGGGGTGAGGAGCAAGCAGCCCCTCCCCCAGGAACTGAGCCCTGGGCCCCTCCCTTCGGTAATGAATTGCAGGGGAACACCGCTGAGAGGTGTCAGAACAATTTCTATTAAACATAATTTCCTAATGAAAAGGTCACGAGGGAGCCCGGCGGAGCTAATCAGGATGGAATGTTCACTCCAACCACTCCGAGGGAGGGAACCCAATGCCTGGTCCTTAGTTCCACCCTTTTGGACCGGAAAGCTGGGGCCTTAGGGTGGAGTGAGATCCTGACCAGCTTCCAGATCCCTCCTGTGTTCTTCTTGAATGTGCTGTTCTTGGTGCCAGATGCTGGGCCTGGTGCAGTCACCCAAAACTGCTGTCATTATGCCCACCTTCAAGACGAGCAAACTGAGGCTCTGAAAGCCCATGTGACTTGCCGGAGGCCCCAGCTTTAAAAACTAGGAAGCAGGATCAGACCCAGAATCTGTTCTACTGCAAGCCAGGTAGCCCTGCCCACTCTCCCTCTCTGCCCCTCGGTGTCCTCTGTAAACTCTGTGGATACAAAGTCCCTTGAAGAGCAAGCATAGTCCAAGCACAGGGCAGACCTGGGATATCAAAGAGCCACCATCTGCTAGACTCCCACCCAGGAATCCCTTCTACACAAAGCCCCAAACACACACCTGTTAGTATCTGAGAATTTGGATGTCTGTAAGAAAATTGTAGATGGTTCTGTGATGCCTCAGAGGTTAGCACTAACCCCAGCTGAACCTGGAAGGGGCATGCTTATCACTGCAGCCACCTCTGCATGCCAGGAGTCTTCCGTGGCTCGCAACCACAAACCTAGGCACACCAGATTCTAGAGCAGGTCCTCAAGTTAACTCTCCCCCTGCCCATCACCCTGGATTTCTGATGCTAAATTTGTACACGAGGGGGCGGGGTCCACATGCCTAAAACTCAAGAGAAAAGCAGGAGACTTGGTTAGAAGGCTCACATTCCCTCCCAAACTCTCAATTATACACTCTTTAGAAATTGCCTTGGACGGTAATCGAGGGAGGTGGGTGTGGGGCTGGAAGAGGAAGGGGCAAAGGGAGTAGATTTGAGGATGCACAGCAATGAGCTTCGATCTTTTGCCGCTCAGAGGCCCCTGCTGCCACTAGGATCCAGCTGAGGGCCCCTTTGGGAAGCCTCTGCAGGACCAAAGCAGGCCATTGGGGGCAGAATCAGAAACCCTCCAAGCACTTCACCATCACCCCTACATGCTGCGGAGAAAACGCTATGAAAGGGGGGCCCACGGTGCAGCTCCTCCAGCCCCTCCTCCCTGGTCCCACCGTACTCCACCTGTCTCCCCACACTTCCCGGGAGCCCCTCACCCCAGCTGGGCCCATCTCCATAATCGCTGGCATGAGGCTGTCTCACAGTGGCACGTGCCTGCCTGCCCAGGACATCGAAAGCCGGGAATAGCATGAAATTTGCAGCCGCCTTCCCAGATCCCAGCCCTCCGCGGCTCTTCCCCCAATTGCTCCACGCATATTCAGTCAGGAGGTGGTAGTGATGGCTGTAGACATCCAGTGCTTGGGTTCTCCATGGTAGGAGGGGCTCAGTTTCTGGGCTCCTGTGCTGCTCTCCGCCCCCAACCTCCTAGGATGAGGGTGTTCCAGTCAATGCCCTCATTCTGCTGAGATCAGCAGTAGTTCCTGAAGTGGGCCGCCCCGCCACCCTGGCCGGCAGCATCAGCACCACTTGGGCACTTCCTAGAAATGCAGGCTCTCGGGTCCCAGACCTGATTTACTGAGTCGGAAACCAGAGGTGGGAACGGGTCCGGGTTAACGTGGGATTTTAATAAGCCCAGCAGGCTATTCTGGGACATGCTTAGGTTTGAACAACCATTGAACTGAAGACAGCCCTATCAGATGGCATCAATGTGATGGTATTCCCGTGGGTGCCCGGGGATGTGCCGAGAGATGCCACCTCCACTGCCTGAGACCCACAGGCTGCATGACTAACATGAGGTGCATAGAGGGAGATCTGCCCCAGGCTGCAAGCTCAGCCTGAGAATGCTGGGAGCTCCCGGGAAAAGGGTCTGTGATAGCTGATAGCAACAGAAATAACAGGCCCCAAAATATAAGCAGGAAACGGGGGTCGCGACACCAGTGAACTCTAATTTGGAGATCATGTGCTGTCTGTGAGATGAGCAGAGCAGGTCTGACTGCCCTACTTACAGGAAGGGGAGAGCAGCCAGGACAGGGACTCAGGGCAGCAGGCAGGAGGCTGGGCTGGGCTGGGCTCCTTTCATCCCTGTTCCGGAGCCAAGAAGCAACAGGAGCTGCAGAGCTGAGGGTGGTGAGGGGCAGCCCTGAGGATCCATGGGAACACCTTGGCATGGTACCCGATGCCCATGTATAATCAGTGTTAGCTCTCGGTCCCTTGAGCTTCAGTGGCACCCCAGTGTGGGCAAGTCATCTGTTGACCCACTTCCGAGGAACCCGAAGAGCCAAGGAGGAGGAGGAGGGTCGGCAGGGTTTGACGTGGAAAATAAAACACTAGGGAGGGGAATCTCACAAGGGCCCCGGGAAGGACCCCTTGGTTGTAAGCAGAGAATGGAGGGTAGAGGAAACGGTGACCAAGGATCATTGTCTGGCTGTGGGGAGAGAGGAAGCAGGCAGAGGAGGAGCTAGAAGAGGGACACTTGACAGAGACGATGGGCTTCACTGTGCCTCTCCTACGAATGTCATGCATTGTCTTCTGGCTGCCGTCCACCCACCCTCTTCTCCATCTCAGGAGAACAGACTCCAAGCATGAGTCCAGCCACTGGCGGAAAGGGCTGAAATTCCCCTTTGAAAGTTCTCTGCCCCTCTATGGTAGGCCAAGGCCTAGCTCAGGCTAGCCCATAGAGATATCTCAGTTCTATCCAAGTATCTCAGCTTCCACCAGCCTCTCCTGTATCTCGTGCCTCAGCTTCAGCTTCTCCCCCATCAGCACCCCATCCTCCACCCCAGCAGCCCTGAACTTACCTCCTGCCAGAAGTTTCTTCTGAATTCGTTCACCGCTTCCAGGACTTGCATCCGCAAGGCTTTATTTGATTTCTAGATCTTTAATTTTTGTGACCTATGGCAAGTGACCTTGTGATCTAACCTCTCTGGACCTTTAACTTTCTCAGACCCACTCAGTGAGTGCCAAGGAGATCAAGGAGACTGGGATGCAGAGCTTCCTGCAGCAGATGGACCAGGACACCACAGCATTTACACCAGATGCCATGGACTGCCTTCCCCTTCTCCCTCATCCACCCCAGCACTGGTGGGGAGACTCCAGCAGGTAAGGAGACACACAGAAGACAGGGGGTAGTGGGCAGAATCTTGTTCTATGAAAGAACCCCACCACCCAGCCCTACCCTTTGGGAATTGGTGGTGCATCCTTTCTCTGTGGCTTCTCCCCTTGGGAGACGGTTGTCCATATTCACAATGGTACAAGAACAGTATAAGGTAAACCTGTCTCCCCTGAGTACCTGCCACAGATGCCCAGCCATCCAGGGCTCAGGCAATGAGATAAGAGAAGAAACGGGGTGAGAGCCATGGGTGTGGGGAGACTTCTGAGTCCCCCACAGAAGAGGCATCAGAGGAGTGGGATGTCATGCTGAGCCAAGTGAACCTGGAGATTAAGTGAAATAGAGCCGGGTGGTGGTGGCCCACACCTGTAATCCTACCACTTGGGAGGCAGAGGCAGACCAGTCTCTGAGTTGGAGGCCAGCCTGGTCTACAGAGCGAGTTCCAGGACAGCCAAGGCTACCCAGAGGAACCCTGTCTGGGGAGAGGGGGGTTGGTGGTGGTGGCAGGGAGTGAAATGGAAGTGCTTTGTTAGGAAAACCATCATCCAAACCAGAACCTTCTGACTGGTACCCAAGCTGAAGCCCAGTGCCCAGGAAGATACGTTGTTATCTTCCTATTCTTGGGGATGTGTGGCTGTGATGTCATGGCTGGAGCCTGGCTTGAGGGGAAGCAGGTGGGACATGTCAGCGGCTTCTTTATTAAAACAGCAACCCCCACCCTCCTGGAGCTGTCCGTGGTGCTGGCTCCAGATCCAGCCTGGCTGGCCACTCCCGCCATGCGGCCATGCGGCTCATTGTCTGCCAGGCTCTTTCCCTGCCAAGCTCTTGACCCACGTCCACAGCGGTGACCCTTACTGCAAACTCCAGCACTGCCTGACGTAACTAACGCTAGGTAGGGAGAGTCCTAGCTCGGGCCTTGCTGACAGTAACCGAGTTCTCAGCCAGCCTGGGTCTCACTGCTTGCTTTATCCAGGACTCCACCCCGACCTCAGACTCGAAGCTAAAGCCTCATGCTTTCCTTAACCATACTAATCATTTCCAGTCTTAATCCTAGTACTGATCTGAACTTACACTCCACCCTAACCCCAGACTGAACCTGAGCCCCAAAGCCTCTGGGTAAAGAAGCCATTCCTCTTCTCCACCTCCCCCAAGCGAGACTAAGAATTCCTCTTCATCCTTGATATCACCCAACACCCCCTTCACAAGAAGAGGAACTGGAAACAGAACCAAGCTTAAGAACACTGGCTTATGGGCACACTTAGCTCAGTGTCTACAGAAAGCATAGAGAGATTTCCCATTTCTCCAGCCTCACACCACCAATTCATCTACAATGAACGGGAGGTTACTATCATGCTCTGAGAACCTCTACCATAGCATACTGAGCACCTATACCACTGTGTACTGGGCACCTACAGTGTGTACTGAACACTTCTACCATCATGTACTCTCTACACCACCATATGCTATCATCCACACCACCGTGCACTAAGCATCCACACCACCAGGCACTGAGCATCTACTATCATGCACTAAGCACCTACACTTTCCTGTATTGATTGGCATCAAAAGACTTATGGTCAGACCTGGGCTTTGAGCTAGTTGGCCATTTCAGTGTCCTGTACAGATCATCAACCTTTTGGGACCTTCATGTGTAAGCAGATAACTCATCTACCACCCTATGTAGGTTTGAAAATTTGATGATATAATACCAACTAAGTCTAGAACAACATGGCTTCTCAGTGCACACAACAGTATAGGTGCTCGGTGCATGGTGGTGTAGGTTCTCAGTACACAGATGCTTAGGAAATGTTGGTATGGGTACTCTGTATGTGGTGGTATAGGTGCTCAGTGCATGATGGTTGATGAATAATGAATATTGGTTATAGGTCCTCAGAACATGGTGATATATTTCACATTGGTATAGGCACTCAATGCATGAAGGTATTAGATGTTCAGTACATATGGTATAGGTGCTCAGGACGTGACAGTATATCTTTCATTTTCCCACATACCATGAACCCTGGTTGTTAACAAGACCCCACTTTAGCACCAGGAGGCATGGGCAGTCACCAGTTTTGACCTGGATCTAAGTGTCTTGGGCAACCCTCAGGATGGGAAGAAGAGGTTTTTTTTTTTCAACTGCCTAGGGTGATGTCCTTTCTAGGGCCCAAAGTTCTATTGAGTTACCCTCAAGTGGCCCACACAGTGGCCACCCAAGCAGCGCGATGTCCTCTGGTCCCTACTCCCAAAGGGGCATCTTCAGATAACACACCTGCATACATGGTGGTCTAGCCTGAAATTTCTCCCTTGGGAGAGTCTTTGAATGTGGTCCCAGAGCCAGAGAATGTAGCCCCAAGAGCTATCTTATCCACTCCTCAGAAGCCACCTGAGCAGGAGACAGAGGTGAGGCTGGGAGAGCAGGGCGGCACCAGTCTGGGGAGGCTTTGGGTGAGCCCAGGCTTGGCTCTCCTCTGTCCCTCTGTAGTAATTAACAGTCCTTTGTTCCTGTCCCTGATCTCGTCTGGCAGCGCCTTAATCATCCTCTTCCCTGCAATGAGCAGCCTTCTCATTAGGGCCTTAAGAACCTCTATTATAAACATGTAAATGGAACTCAACGAGGAGGGAGATATTTGACTGTTCCCATTTCCTTTGTGCGGCTGCCAGCTCTGGGCTGCGCACGCCCGTGATTTCATTGCTCAGCAGCCAGGCGCCAGCGCGGCCCCCACCGCCGCAGCCCCCACCGCCCGTCACCAGCCGCTCCATCTTCTCCTATCGGAATTTAATTACCTTTGCTGGGAAATGTTTGAGGAACCTTTCTTCATCAATTGATCCTGAAGTCGGATTTTTATTCCAAGATACTTAATGGTGCTTGAGCCATCGATGAGAACCTAGGAGCAGGTGAACCTGGGCAAGGGAGAGCCCTTTAACAAAGTTAGGAAGGGTCACTGCAGTTAGGGCCCTGACTCTTCCCGGGTGGACCTGTCATCCAGCACAGATGGATGTGAATCTCTTCCTGAAGGTCCACAGAGAACTGGATTCATGGGCCTCCTGATCTGGACTGGGAAGTCCTTTCTGGTGTCTGCCTGATGCTGAGCAAACCTGAAAATAAAATAAAGCTAGTTTCTTCCTTGGCAATGAAGCAAGTGTCTATCCGAGAGAAGCCAGGTTTACCACTGGGGGAAGAAGCTGATAGTCTGATTAACCTCTCCCCCAGTGGCCTAGTGTGACAAGATGGGCACTCACTCCCTGCGGGACCCGGAGCAGCCAATATGCCGGACTCCCTCAACTCAGCAAGCCTTTCTCGTTTGTGTCTTCCTGTTCCCTAGTCCTCCTGGACACCTGGGGTCACAGAGGTGCCTCTTCCCTCCTGTTCCCTCTCTAAACCTTCACCCCACTCATTCCATGGAGCTGTTTCACAGTTAGGTCATCACGGTCTGCTCACTGTCAACATCAGGGCTTGCTGTCAGCCCCCTGTGGCGGGTCCTTGTTGACTGCAGCTGGACATTGGCTTAGCCTGTACATGCTCACTTTGTTTACTCACTTGTTTTTGCTGTGCTGGGATGGAACCTGGGGCCTGTGCATGCTCAGCCAACACTCCACCTCTAAGCAACATCGAAGCCCACATGTCTAACGCTTGGGATAGACTCCCAGGGGTCCCCTCCTTCAGGGTGGAGCCCAAGTTTTCGTTGCCGGGTCCCTCACTGCCCTGAGCACAGAGCCTGGAACAGATGCGCACCCAGGAAAACCTGCTTGCTGGAATGGTCCAAAGGTGGGGATGGGGTGGTTGGCAGCCTAACTGGCATATTAAGGGGAGGTGCTGGGCAGATAACAGAGGTGAGGAATGGGCGTGGCCATCATTGTCTGGTTAGTGATGAGGAAGCAGGGCCTGTGAACATTTTTTTCCTTTATTTCCTGGCTCAGTTGAGCTGTGTGAGGCGTGGGGCTGGAAGGGCACTGCCTGAGGAAACATTTTCCTCCCAGTGTCCCACAGGCAGGCATCCACAGCACACAACTTCCCGGCACCTCAGGCAGCGATGTGAGCATTCAGCAAATTCCAGCCATCCAGAGGGCTGGCTGTCCCTTCTGTGACAAGGCTCAGACAACGCCCCGGGAAGGCCGGGAAGGGGGGAGACCCTCCTGACTTGGTCCTGCCTTCCGCATTCTGCCTCAGCTCTAACCTTCCATATCCTAGGCCAGTGCTCTACCACTAGGTCCCATCCCAGCCCTCCCTTTTGTACTTTTGAGAGAAGGCATACAATCCCTTGTTATAGCAGAAAATCTATAATTAATAGTTCTTTGGGGCTTTTTTGGTGGTGATGGTGGTTTGAGTTTTGTTTTAATTCTATGATGGGGTCTCATGTATCCCAGGTTGGCCTCAAATTCAATCTATAACCAAGGATGACTTTGAACTTCTGATCATCCAGCCTCCAGATCCTGAGTGCCCCAAGATTACAAGTGTATATCACAATTCCCAATTTAGGAGGTGCTGAGGATTGAAACCCAGGCTTCAGCACACTGGGAAAGTACTCCACCAACTAAGCCATATCTCCAGCCCCATAGTTCTTCACAGTCAACCCTCTCTGTTACCATCACCATGTAGTGTCTGTCTCCTGCTTGGACGGTAGGGAAATGGGTGGATTGGTTGGTAAACCAGGTAGGGTGATAAGACGGTGGAGGGATAGGTTGACTAGCAGGTTGGTGGGTGGGTGGGTTTCCTGTTTGGTGAGCAGTTTTCTTTGTAGCTTAGAAAACTATGGGTTGGCAATATGGCAGAATGTAGGGCAGTAGATTGGTTGACTGGATGGATAGGGGATGACAGTTTAGTTGGTTGGAGGTGATAACTGGTTCTGGACTAGTTGGGGGATGGGGGGTGGGGTTCAGGCTATGGGGCCAGCACCATGTGAAAGGAAAGGGAAAGTTCCTGAGAGGCCCTTGGGGGACTCATTCTTCAACCCTGAGGAAGCCTGTGGCTCTACAGACTAGACCCTCACAGTCACCTCGTGAGAGCTAGGAAGACAACAGCATTGCAGATGGACCCCAACACACAGCCCAGAGCCAGGAAGGCTCAGAGCTTGTCTAGGGACCCCTTCTCCTCCATGCCAGAACCCTGAATGTCTGACAAGATACCACCTGACTGCCCAGCACCCAGACGACAACCTACCAGTAAAGGAGGCTCGCAAAGTGCTGGCCTGTCACGGGGGCTTGTTCTTCTGTCCACAGAATCCCCCAAACCACCGACTCCAGAACAGAGACTCCTGTGGGTGCCAGCTCCCATGCCACCTGGAACTCTCCCCAGCACAGCCCTCCTGCCTGCCAGGCCCTGTCTCGTATCTCAGCATGGCCCCTGCCCACCTTGGGCCTCAACTTTGACTCTTCCCCCACATCCCTCCTACCCCATCTCTCCCTGTGTTTTCTAGAAGCCAGGGCAGAAGCTCTCCTCCACTTACCCCACCCTGCTCCCCTCCACCCCCTCCCCAGGCCTTGTAGGTGGTCTGGTCCACACCCCAGCCAGAGCCGCCAGGACAGTTCCAAATTGCCTCTTCTGAGAATCAGAAAAGGAGATCTGGGGAGGAAATTGCTTTCGCCCTGCACAGTCTAGATGGGACTATTTTTCACTCTCTTTTTTTCCCCTCTTCCCCGCAATCTTAGCAAAAAAAAATGAGAATGTGCCCAGAGCTTAAGACCTAGTTTGGACCAACCTTTATCCCTCCTGAGGTCTGCAGAGGTCTGATGGCATTCAAGAAACTTGTGCCAGGGGAAGACACCCTAGTGGCCTTCCCATAGTAGGTGAGGCCCAGATGCCACCTGCTCCCAGGCCTGGGAGTTGTCCAGAGTGGACAGGTGAGGGTAGCCAAAACCTGGCCCCAGGGGACTTCACTGTGGGCTCTAATCTCTGCCCCCCCCATCTCCACCCCCAGGAATGTCCCATTCCCACCAGGTGTCGCCAGCCCTCAGGGCAGGAGCTAAGTGCCTGGCTACCCCTGTCCTAGAGTAGCTGTCAATGAAAGCCAGCCCAGCAAAGTCCCAGCCCTGCTGAAAAGTCACCCTTCCTCCTGTTCAGTCTTCTCGCGTGGAAGAGGTGTGATGGGCTCCGCTGTCAGCCTCTGGGAGAGGCCAGGGTCCATCACAAAGGCTGGGACCAGAAGATGTGGAGATCCCATTTGCTTGTCTGCTGACTGGTCGGTCCCACTAATGCTTCAGGCTACACTAAGTCCTTCAGATGGACTGTTTTCTTCGGTCTCTGCAGAAATCTTCTGTCACTGAATCTAAAGAACAGAGATTAAACCAGGACTGGTGGCTCATACCTGGGAAACTGAGTCAGGAAGATTGCCAAAAATCCAAGGCCACTCCAGACTATAGACTGAGATCTTATATAAACAAACAAAAGAGGACCGGGATGTGGCTCAGTTGGGTAGTGTGCTTGTTTAGGGTGTGCAAAGCCCTGGGTTAGATCCTTAACACTCCATAAGTCATGGGGCAGAGAAACAGAAATTCGAGGTCCTCCTTAGCTCAGAGAGGCTGTGGAATGACTTCACATCACACAGCTGGTGAATCATATCTTCAGCCAGACTTAAAATCCCTGGGTATATTCATCCTGTATATTAGATGCTATTCTGTGTTTTTTAAGGGAGGTTTTGGGGGGGGCTATAGCCCCAAAAATAAGTGGAGGAAAGATTTCTTGTTTGTCTTTTTGGATTTTGAGATAGGTTCTCACCATGTAACCCCAGCTGGCCTCAAGCTCTCCATCTTCCTGCCTCAGTTTACTGAGTGCAGGATTATAGGAGTCTCCTACCATGCATGCTAGAGAAGGAATCCTGAGCTGTGCGGGCCCAGAAGCATTGTTGGGGTGGCGACAGCTTTTAGAATTCCTCAAATGATAATACTGGCTGGCCCTTACTGAGTGGGGCTGTAAGCAGATGTTCTGCAGAATTAATTCCTTATATTAATTCACTTAATCCTCACGATAACCCCAAGGCAAGGCACTGTTACTAGCTGCAGTGTGCGTGGTGGGGAAACCAAACAGGAAAGGTACTTAGCTTGTTCAAGGGCATGAGCCAATTAGCCATGGTGCCGCAGCCCTGGCACGGAGCAAGTTGCCACTGCTCCCTATAACCTTGCTTCCTAAGCCAGGTGTGTATCAGGGAACAGAGGGACAAGGTGCTGTATTAGTTACTTTTCTCAGTGCTGTGACTAACGCAACTCAAGGAAGGGAGGGCTTGTTTTTAACTCCCACTTGGAGGGTGCATCCTATCAGGGCGGTGGGGGCGAGGGGAGGCATGCTACAGGTGGGTGGCAGGTTGCAATGCATCCACGATGAGGAAGTACCGTGCAGTGAATGTGGCACCGTGCAGTGAATGCCTGTGCTCAGCATCCTCTTTCCCTTCTACCATCCACATTCTCTACCCTCCTCAGTCACCTCCCTGGGAACACCCTCACAGGCACACCCAAATGTGTGTGTGTGTGTGTGTGTGTGTGTGTGTGTGTGTGTGTGTGTGTGTGTGTGTGTGCTGGCTGATTCCACACCCATTAAGGTTGACAGTGCAGATTAGCCACCTCAGGACCAAAAGGGACTGTGTGTCAGAGTAAGAATCCTGAACCCAAGGCCACGAGAAGCCTGGGTCCCGCTGACCCTCAAGCACAGCCTTCGATCCTTATCACTCTCCTCTCCTCACCAGTTCAGTCTGGTGTGTAAGCCTGTGGTGCTGATGAGAGGGATGTATTTCTCCGTAAGAAGGGTAGGGATGCCCCCAACTCATGGCTGCCTTCCCCGTTCTCATGAATCATCCCTTTTGCTAACAAAACCTTCAGATGTCAAAGGTCACCTCAGCCTCGATGATAGTGCCCCAGGGAGACAAGGATGTCCTCACCAAGTCACTGCTGGGCCACACTGACTCTTAGCCAAGGAGCCGGTCGGAAGAGATGGCAGCAAGAGGCTGTCTCCTCTCGTGCAAGACATCTGACTTCCACTTCCTCTCCATCAAGTCCTTCATCTGCATCTGGCTTCTCTCTCCAGAACCACACACACACA